TATAATAATAATAATAATAATAATAATAATAATAATAATAAACAGGATTACATAAAGTAAAAATAATAGAAATTTAATATTTAAATAATAAGAAAAAGTTAATAGTTTACTTAAAATAAATAAATAATTAATTTTTATATCATGTTTACGTTAGGCTTCCACTTTAAAAGAGTCGACGTCTAGGCAAAATTTTATCGAATTAAGCGTCATCAACGTAAGTTTTTTTACTTCCAAATTCTGATGATAATATTGTATTTCTTCTAAATCACTTGCATTAAGGTATCATTAGTAAATATATCTTGTTACTACAACTAGAATATGATAATTCTAGCTTATTATTGAATTTGATCATCTAGAAATGAATGAGAATGATTTGTAATATTTATCCTTACTACACTTACATGTTATAAAAGAAAGATATTGTATGATATTTCTAATGTAAAAAAAATGATATATAGTATGCTTGATGTGCATTCTTGGCTTAGATGGAGCATCCATTGATAGTACTAGTGGATGAACAATAATATACACGTAAATGGAAAAACAAATTGATACTGAAGTACCTCAAGTAATATAATTTTTAGATGGTGCACTTTTGACGGTTGTATAGATACAAAATGATATTGATATGACATTAGTATAGTAAGACTCTCTGAATAGCCTCAAATATTTATATTAATTTATTAAAAAATTTAATTGACATGCATATTATTGATTTCTTTCTTGTATTACTGTAATTTAAAAGTATGAATATTAAATAACTTTTTTAGCCTACTATTTTTTTAACTAACTTTTCAACTTTAACTAAATTATTAAAAGATGTACGATGAACGAGAATATATTCATAGATGATCGGGATAACTAATTACAATATAATTTTAATTGCACCGTTTTAATTTAATTTGTAGCGACTCTTTCATCGATTACATATTAAGTTAATACAGAAAATTAAATTCAAACCATCCGACCATCTGCACTCGCCTTGATTAATTTCAAGTCTCGAGCCAGACCATAATAAATAAACCCAACAAAAGCATGAGCGATCACAAACTAGTTCTTACTATTTTATACACAATTTAAGTTCTCTTTAAAGAAATTAAGAATTCAAACATAAATGCTTTTATGTAGATCAAATGGAAAAAAAGCCCTACCTAAATTAGGTTTGGGTCCATAAGAAAATTTTGCTATTATGAACTATTTCCAATCAAAGAAGGCACCAAATCATTGACTCTTCTAAAGCCAACCAAATTGGATTTTAAATCCTAAACTATCCTTTAACGAAATATGGATGAACAAAACAAACCTTAAAATAGAACCCAGATAGATGTGGTGACATCATTCAATAGCCAATGGTGTATGCACCTGTATGTCCAACATGTGGTCCTGTAGGACAAATATTGAGTTTTGAATTATAGTTATTAGAGAGATTCTATAATGGCTTATCGCTTATTTTACTTCAATGAAAAAAAACATCAATCACACTTGTTCATAAAATAAAAAAATGTTTCGGAGAAACAAAGGAGATAATATCGACAACAATTACTACACAACATTGTTTGCATTTGTTACTAAGAAGCCCGGCCTCGGCTGAACATGAAATTACATCATTGACAATGTACAAAAGTGCACCAATGCATTTTCAAAAATAATGTCCAGAATTTTCACTTAAACATCTTGCAACCCATTAAATTATAAGTTATTCATACTTTAACATGATTTATAGTAATGGATGGTTTTCTCCCTGTAAAAAAGATTTGATGGGACAGAAACTAAACTTCATCAAACCATCCTACATTTTTTGACCTTGTCATATTAAGATTTGTCAGCACTACCAAACCACCCTACTTGCCTTGTCCTCAGTTGGGACTATCTGGCCTAAGATGCCAACCAAGTGTAAACATCATCCACAAATTTATTAACCACTGATCAAAAGATACCACAAGTGCATTTCAAATTATTGAATTGAAAGTTTAAACTTTATTCATAAGAATAACTATAAGACAAATAACAACACCCACTTCTATAGGTTTACTTTGCTTCTAAGTTGTGTATGTGATGAGGACATGAAGGGGAACACAAATAAGCTGCGCTGCCTCCCAAAACCGGAGCCATCAAGCGAGTTACTGAATGAGGAAAAAGAGCCATAATATCAGATTCGAACTGACGCTATGAAACCGATGCCAGGTTGAGCCGAACTGGACTCAACAAACATTCACTCAAATCAAATAAAATTAGTTTCTAATGGCACAACTTGTGCAAATTTTGCTTAAATAAAAGAGAATTTAATGACCCAATAGTAACTATAAACAAAATAATATACTTCACAAGCATATGTAATATAAGAACCTATGTGCATACAAAGTGTGAACATTGAAGATAAATAAGTACAACTCAATGTAGAAAAAAGCTTGTACTGAAAAAAATAAATTCAGATGCCTGTTGGGAAAGAGAATGGAAGGAATCCAGCCAGGCGTTCATAATTCACAAAATAAATTTCTCGGCTGAAACTATAAATTTGGAAAAGATTACAAATAAATGATACTTGTTCATATGGACTTGAGGTTTATTTGAACAAAGAAAAAACTAAATACTGAAATACTTGGCCTGGCCACTTTGATCTCCTTTTGAATTCATAATCCCTAACATAAGCAATGCAGGTCAATTGCAGAGAAGACGTTAAGCCAACAAATTTCATGTATTATGCATTTATGTTAATAATTAATTATATTGCTTTTAAAAATCCAATCTAGAGTTCAAAATCATTCGCTTTAGTCCTTAAATAACTACAATAATAAACAACGTTACAACACTATGCCCATGAGATAATCTACATGAAATATCAGCCAAAGACTTCCCGTAAAACTGATCGTAAACATAAAATCGATGGATCATTTTCCTGCTTTCTGGCATGAAGCAAACAAAGTGCCCTTCCTGCAACGTTCCATGCGAAGCTGCAATAGCCAACTCTATTAGTAGACTTGGCCATGTTATAAGCAATCTGATATATTGCTAGAGCATCATTGAATATCTCTTCTTCTTTTCTAGTGCTATCTTCAAATTCAGCTGCTCCATACAGCAACTTCACATATTTTGACAAAAATAAATATATTTATATACATATTAGGACAAGTTATTAAAGAAATGCCAATCAATAAAGTTTCATGAAAAGTAATTCTACCTTTTTATACTTTTGGATGACATTTTCAGGCAATTTGTCTTCACGCGGCTCCTGCAATGCATTCCTCATCTCACATCTATAGTCATCATAATGTTTTTTCCATATACTCAGGGAAGGATCACGAATCTCCTCACTAAAGCAAGGAATAAGCCACACAGCTAAACAGCGCATGGAAAAAAGAATTAAAATAAATCAATAAATAATCATATGAAAATGACGACTTTACTTGCATAAAATAAGCTAAGTTACAGATTCTAATTTCAATTCTCGAGTATCAACATAACATCCTTCATGTTATGTTTACATAAATAAGCTTTCCATCTAAGTTTAAAACTATTCAAACCTTCAAATTCAAATTTAAATGGTTTGACAAAAATATTAGAACCATAAAAAATCCAAAAACAGGAAATTTCTAAAAAATTTAAATAAAAATAACACATATAATTCAAATCTTTTAACTAGTATTATTCAACCTAAACATGAGTCTAGCCATGATTCTTCATTTATTTTGAAGGTGTACATCAAAGCTCATGGGTTAAAAAAAACCTGATTTTGAATAGTAAACAATTGAGGCACGCTGCAAGTAGAATTCTTATTGCCCTTCTCAACTCATGTGTGACCCAAAAGTCCAGAGGAAAACGCCACTACAAAATGTTTATGCCCTCCAAAATCAAAGGTGTTAATTTAATCAGTGATGACCGATTCAGTATTGCCAGTTTGAATAATATGGCAAATGGAAATATAGGAAAATAAATTTTACTAGGAAGTCTAAATGTTAAAAAATATTAATGGATACGTCATTCATGCTGAAGCAATTTAGCAAAGGGACTGAAGAGTATAACCTAAAGAAAGATGACAACCTATATTTTATTAAGGATTAAACAAGTGAAATAAAATTTTAATTAAGAGGAAAATTAATGGATTATACAATCAAAGAAGAATTTAAACCAGTTAGCTCATAAAAATGCCGATCATGTAATCATATAGATGATGTATAGTTACTAAATTATGATGATCAACATCTACGGAATGGCTGGGGGAACAAATCTCCTAAAGCTGAAGTGGCTATATCTAATGTCATAGTCAGTAATTGACTTTTTCTTCTACATTTGATGCCTTTTATTGACATCTTTATAATTCATTTACCTTGATATCCATGAGATGAAGTTATTGTGAAGAGCTTTGCTATAATTTATCTCTTAATAGGAACGATCTTCCTATTATTATGAATGACATGTAAATTTCATGAGCAAGTCTCAACTGCTAAAAAAAATTAATACTATTCCACACAAATTTTTATACAAATGGAAAATGCATGCTGAGGTGCATCCTAAATGAATGATATATAGAAATGCTTGCATTTGCATATTGAAAAAAATAAACTTAACCCATTGGTGTTAGATAGTATATTAATATACCCAACGTTCAAGGCTTCTTAAGTTTATCACCATAGACAGTAGAAGATGTATGAGCTGCATCTTATTGTGCTCATAAGAGATGTGTCAGTCAATAGCAAGCGTATTTTTGCCATAGAAAATTGACAGGCATATTGTTTCAATTTTTCTTTCATTTTTTTTAGTTTAGAATTGTTGATTCATCCACTAGGTTATATATTTATATAGAACTAATCTTATTAGCTGACATACTTTTCATAAACGACCCTGGCCAAGTAAATGAATGAGGGCCCATTTGGGGCGATGCCAGGGGAGCGGCGCGGCACTATGCCGCTGAAGAGAGGTGTTTGGGGCGGTGCGGGGAAAATAAGAGAAAATGCGGCCCGTGGGTTCGACCTCACGTCCCGCTTTTCAGCCCCAATTTTTTACCTGGATGCCCTTTCGCTCGTCTGCCCTAATTGCTGCGATTATTCGGTTCGCCTTCTTCGTCAGCCCTCTTCCTCCTCTTCTCACGTTACCTGGTTCCACTTCCTCCTCTGTCCCCAATCGTTATGCCCCTCTTCTCATAGACACAATATATTTTTTGTTGGATTTGTGACTTGATGGCTCGATTTTCTGTTGGATTCACATCCATTTTTTGTTGGATTCGTATGAATGTGTGGTATGGATGTGAATGCTTGATGTTCTCGGTGGCTCGATTTTCTGTTTGTTAATTTGTACAACAACAACAACAACAACAACAACAAAGCCTTAATCCCACTACGTGGGGTCGGCTACATGAATCCTTTTTCTCCATTGCGTCCTATTTAGTGTCATATTTTCATTTAGTTCTAGTAAATTAAGATCATTTTTAATACAATAAGCCCAAGTCTTCCTAGGTCTACCTCTGCCTATCTTAACACAAGTCGAATTTAAAACATCTACTCTCCTAATCGGATCATCTAATGGTCGACGTTTAATATGACCAAACCATCTAAGACGACTTTCTCTAATTTTGTCTGTCACAGGAGCTACACCAACCCTATCACGAATATATTCATTCCGCATTTTGTCTCAAAAAAGAGAAGTTGGCTTTGGCATTTGCTGTGGCTTTGGCATTGATGAATATAAGGATTTTGTTATTCGATATGCTTTATATTTGTTGTGGCTTTAGTATTGATGAATATGAAGATTTGGCTTCAGGATGTCAGCAATATGATGTTCGATATTCTTTATATTTGTTGTGACTTTGGCATGATGTGAGTACATATCATTTGGGTGGTTTGCATGATGATCCAACAAAAAAAGGAAAAAAATTGCGTTGTTAGTGTGGCTTGGGCATTGATGTTAAGGTTTAGGTTTTGTTCTTTGGAGTTCTTGGTGGTTGTTGATGTGGCTTGGGCTCGTGATGTCGTTTGGGATGGCTGTGGCATGGGGTTGTGGAAGTGTCTTGAGTATTGATGTGAGTGCATATGAATTGGAGAATTGTGGCTTGGGGTGGCTATGGCTTGGGATTATGGTGTGTGGCTTGGGGTGGCTATAGCTTGGGATTGTGGAAGAGGCTTGGGGTGGCTAATGCATATGAATTGAAGAACAAGTGAGATCAACTCAAGAAGAATTGAATATATTTGGAAGAATTGAAACGAGGATCAACGGGATTAGGGTGAGATCCGGTAAAGCGAACCATTGATACTCCCGGTGAGTGGTGTACTGAAAGACTTACGGTAAGCATTTTTGACAACATTCATAAATTTGGCAATTTCAATACTTTTTTTTTTAAATTGGAGCGTCACTAATTTATTTGGGCGTGCCCACTGCAAAGAAATTTAAAATTTGTGGAGTTGAGCCTGAATTGGAGGAGAAGCTGGATCACATATTGAGGGAGTCATTGCAATAGGGAACTATGCATGTTGCCCAAGAGAGACAGAGTTTGGTGGAAACTCTGAGAACCTGGGAACGCAGCTATCAGATGACTCAACTGAAGTCTCAAGCCCGGAGCAGCATGAAATTGAGTCCACTTCACCTCCCAAGCGTCCGAGGGATGAAAATAAAAAAAAAGTTGAGTATGTTTTCCTTAGAAACCAGATATCACAGCTGGTGTCTTCTTGCAGTGCAAAAACCCATACATCTCATTTGAGGGATTAATGATGAGATGTTTGAACTTATGGGTTCTTCGGATGACCTGTTAGTCACTGTTGGTTGGTGTCACGTGTGAAATCCTAATGAAAGAAATCAAATTTCTGTATTCTCTTCAGCCAAAGCTTTTTTGAGGGTGTTTTGGATGATCTTTTTTTAGTGATATACATATGTGAAACATGCGAGGTTGGTTTTACGTGGGTTAAAGACAATCAAGAACCCTGTTTTTTTTACAAAGGCTGCTATCTTTATGTAATGAAAGATTCGTTGGTTACTATATCGACTTTTTTGAGACACCTGCAAAAAATTGTAATTTATTACTTATTTTAGCAATTTCAACCTGTTCTTATGACTAATGGATTCTAGTTTGCAGCATTTAAGAAAGATGAGCTCCAAAATTTCAAGTACATCCCAACGATTGCTCTGCCACTGCGAACTAGAGACTTTCCTTCTGACGTAATGTCGGGCCAATAACTATGGGAGACAGTTCTACAGGTGCTCGCGGAACATTACAGACAAGTGTTAATTCTTCCGGTGGGCCGACAGTCTGGTGGATTCTACTACCGATAGTCATCGAGAATGGATAACATCACTGAAAAACACTAGCACGGGACATACACCGTCTGCATGTTAAAAATAATATCATATATTAATTGTAATTTTAATAGTCAATTTTTTTTTAGCACTTTTGGTATTCACTGTAAAGTTGTGTATATGAATTTTTATACTATTTTGAAGTGAGTATTAAACATATGGCTGTCACAGTTTTGTTACAAACAATATTACTAAACAGAGGGACGGAATAGTAATTTGTCTAGAAACTACTGCTACACAGTTGTTTTCACACAGCTACAACAAACAACCAGTCAGCTTCCCCGCAACAGCTTTCTGGGGCAGCTAAGTTGCAGCTAAAAAGCTGAGAAGCTACATCTGCCACAAAAAGACCCTAAATGAGATTTAATGTACAATAAAAAATACTCCAAAAAAACAATGCTACTTAATTTAAACAAAATTAATTCAAAAAATGATTACAATCAAAATTCATAAGGTTTAAGTCCACTCTAAACTTTGTGATTTCGATCCATGTGCACCTTCAGTAGGCTTCAAATTTAGATGTGTCAGCTATCAATAGATTAAGCTTCAAGCACCTCGTAATTTTCCAAAAAAACGGAAAGGTGAAAACATTGACTTTAGAATATAACATCATAAGGGAAAATTCAAGCACCTTTTGGGAATTATTATATTCCTCTAATTCCAAAAACATTATTATCTAAAAAGAACAAAATCTCAAGTGGCAAGAAATTTAATGAATATTACACTTAAAATATAACTCAAATTATAGAGCAAGCATTGAAAAAAGAAGAAAATAGTTTATATAAAATTAAAACGTCATCATGAAACTTTATTGGTTTCAATAACTTCAGAGCAAATACAGTAACTTTATAACGAACAAAAAACACAAAATTACCTACCAAATACGTTGGACAACAGAAGCACTTACTATTTAATAAGCCTACAGTCACATGCATTTATATGGATGCAGGATACTGTATGTCTGTTTAAATAAAAATTTACCACAAAGAAATACAACATGTAATATGCTAGAAGCACGTCATTCAAAAGATTTAGAAAAAGTTTACCATTTGGAGCAACATCTTCTGTCTCAACAGCATCCACCTCATCGTAAATCAAACCAAGTATAGACTTCGAAATGTAAGTTTTTGCTCTACCCATTATGTGTGGAAACAGATCAGGTTTGAGTTCCCTGGGAATTTCAACCTAAACACAAAGTTACGGATAAGGCTTTAAAACGAAGTATATAATCATTTTCACGGAGTACACAAGAGCATTGTAATTTACATCAGCAGTAGTGTTTGTTTAAATTTTTACAACAGTAAATACTCATGACAGCTAATAATAGAATACTAAAGCAAAAGTCTAAAGCATCTGCTCCACCCCAGCTGGACTACCTAAAGCTTTATAGTAGTCACATCAACCACATATGACCCATCAAAATTGGCAAACTTTCAAGAATAAAATAACTGAAGTTATCAGAAAAAAATACCAAATATCAGAGAGCCCCAATAAGATAAACAATTTCAACTATTACACAAAGGGAAAGTATGAAAGGAAACAAACCTTCAGGCCACTTTTTGGAGCATCCAAAGCATGGTAGTAGAGGTTAACCAAGTTAATCATTTTTTCTTCTAACTTTTGTTTTTCCTCAAAACAATCATCCCCTAATGTTAATAGACGATCCATGAATGCAGTCCAATAAATTGAAGCCTCACTAATTGCATAGCTATGAAAAATAAAACAAAACATGATGGTGAGAAATACAAATTTTCTACTAATTAGAACACACAAAATAAGAAAATTTAAAATTGAATTGCAGTGAGGTAATTATGCAAAACAGGATCCCAAAAGAAGAATGGCATTTTCTTTAATGATGAACTAGTATAACAGGAGAAGGTCCTAAGAAACGTTTCATGGATTTTACTTACCTTTCAGATGTTGTAATTCGTTAAGATAATTCATAGTTAAAAAAAGCCCTATAAAAGAAATTCAATATGATGGGAATGTAGAGTAACAAGTATAACAACAAAAGATTTGGATGAGTAATACCATTGAAGACCAATTCATCAATAACTATCATGTGAAATACCCTACAAACGCAGCAATGAATCAATTAAGAGTATATTCTTCAGCCAATATACTTGTGCCTAGTTTAGATTTTAAAAAATATATATATTTTTATTGGCGTTGTTTGTTTTCCAAAATTTATACTTTTAAGCGATTAATTACTTCGCACAACTTCGCCGATGTTATCATTTTTCATTCTTTATAAAAAAAAATAAATAAAGTTCACATAGAAATATTGATTGTTCCATTAACATTAAATCATAAAATCATAAAAAAAAAATGCAGGAGCAAAATGATAATGTTTAAAGGGTCCATTTAGGATAACTTTCTCTTTGCTTTGCGTTTCAAACCGCAACCACAATTTTGTTTAAGGAATTATATTCAAGCTGCTTCTAAATTTTTTTTGTGGTGGGAAGTTATTTTTTTTTAACTTGACGTGTTAAATCGGAGTGATTGTAACAAAACTATTGCATAATTTTTCTGGAAACAATATATATTTAAAATTCCCATTGCAGATTTCTAAAGAGTTAATTTCTCCACCACATATTTATGACCACATTTTTAAAATGCTGCAGCCATCCCAAACAAACATTATGTACATGTAGGATCAACAAACAACAATTTTTTTTTTTAATTGAAAATTGTAAAAAGTGGAAACAAAATGATGTTTTAGCCTAATATTGGCCTTGTAAAAGAATCCATAAAAAAAGAAATGAATTGTTGTATCACACGAAACTTTTGTCATTGAAGGTAAATTCAATAAGCTCTATTACTATAACACTAATAAATTTTCATCATTTGCTGATTGAATCAAACCCCACTTAAATGTGTCAATGTAAGCATTCTCAATATTGACAGGTATATTTCTTTCTTAACACTCCAATGGATTTATTTGTTTTGTTTTCAACCTTAACAATCCATTATCACTGCTTCATTCTCACTCCCAATTTTTAGATATTATATTTGATTTATGTCTCATTTTATTTTATTTATTGAGCCCAAAACGTGTCTGTTCAAATCATAGATCATAAACTATTCTCAGGTGAACTTTTCCATATTTTAGCGCCTTAATGAACTTTTGTCGATCGTGCTCTTGTAAGTTCCTTGTGACTTAATATGCACCGGAAAGATATATTTTATAAGCATATTAGAAAATGAATAACAAAAAATTGAGTGATTTAGCACATGTTAAGAATTTTATATTGACAGGTTAGCTAGGCACACGCTCTGAAATCAAATATCTTTTTCATTGAGAGGATAGCCCTCAATTAGAAATTTCACAAACCTCCTTCTTTTAAGTTGGCGCTCTACATAACTACCCATATTTGTCGATTACAACACAATTTTGAGAAAATATTGCTGATAAAAAAGGATTGTGATTCACCTACGAGATGGGGGCCCAACACTACCTGGAAAATTAACTCGTAGCTTGTGGTTGATCAAATGGACGGACGATTCGCGGCTAGAGAGGAAATGATGTGTCTCGCAAAAGAAAAAACGTAAATAGAGAAATTTGAACGCTTCCAATTCGGAACCATCTTCAGAGATGATAATTAGATAGCGGACCTCATATCCAAGTACAACCGATGAGGGAAGACCCCCAAACAGAGATATTATAAGCAGAGAACGAAACGACAAAAAATTAGATCGATCCTTACATCCATTTTCTAAAAATAGGAGACGTCACAACCTAACCCATGGCTTAGAATCAACTAAGATGAGAACGGACGATCAGACGGTGAAAATCAATTTTCTATCATTCTATTTCTATTAGTAACAATTTAATATTCAAATTATCATGAAGGAGCCACCAAAGAAAGCAATTTAATTAACAAACAAACATTTATTCCTTTTCGTTTGATATTCTCGCCTCCTATTCACATTTGCACATCTTCTATTCATCATATTCAAAACATAAAACCTAAGAAAAAAAATTAAAAAACGTAATGAATTATCTAAAGATAACCCAACAACAATCACATTTCTAAACTACAATAATTTAAGGAAAAAAAATCAATATGCATGCCGGTCTTTCATACTCATATAAGAAATCTTTAAATATACTAATGCATGTACCAATGACCTTTACTCAAAGAAACTCAATAAAAATCCGCTAAACTTCTATATTCATTAACTTCGACTTTACTTTCTCTTTATACTCATTACATACACATCTGTTTGCTTGAGAATCACCGTCTACAAAACCTAACACACAGCTGACCAATATTATCCCGTCGACACAACGGTTAACGATCTAAACATCACAATCATTTGGGGCGGAAATGCTCTTACCTACACCTGGCAGATATTAACGTGTCGGCATAACGCTTGGCAATCTAAACATCACAATTGTCTGAGGTGGCGAGCTCTGTCTACTCGCCCCTGCTCGATTTTATCCTACTAGCACAGCGGTTAGTGATTTAACAATCACAATCATCTGAGGTAATAGAAAAACATCTACGCATACAATTAGGGGTGAACTCTAAACATGCACATACAAGCATTTATATATAAACTATTTCATTCTTTATAAGAATCATTCTTCTGAGGCATTTTCACTCATCTATTAACATGCATACTTACTCTGAGGTGCAACTATTTATAATACAAATCTTTTATATCATGCATATGCAGATATCATACAAATTGTCACGACATGGACTGAGACTTGGAGTTAACCATGACGGAAACGGACAGTCGAATGGTGAGAAAAATTTTCTATTATTCTATTTCTATTACTAAAAATTTAGTATTCAAAACATATCATGACAGAGCCACTAAACAACACGATTAAATTAACAAGTAGAAATGTGTCTTTCTGTTTGTTCTCATCTCCTATACACATTACCTCCAATTTTATTCATCATTATCAAAGCGAAAACTTGAAAAAAAAATATTTAAGCAACATAATGAGGGGTCTAAACATAACCCAAAAAGAATCATAATTTTAAACTATTGTGCAACTTAACTCTGATCTCTAGTCATAAACCAAAGAAAAAGAATTCAATAAACATGCTGAATTTTCATATCCACGTAAGAAATCTTGAAATATGCTAATCTTGCAAATCTCTACAAAAAAGCTTTGAATATACTGTAGTATTAATGATCTTTTTGAAATGAAAGTACTCTAAAATTCTATATGCATTTACTTTTACTACAATCTTAACTCTACTCTTACTTTATCCTATTAATATTCATATCTTTCTTAGGAGTACCATCAAAACATAACAAATCTCTAATCGATATTATCTCATCAGCAAAGCAGTCATACGATAACCTAGACGATGCACCTTTACTCTTGGTGTAAAGGTCAAATAAAAATCAAATCATAATCTGCATATAAATCTAGTAAAACAACAAGCTAATATACACATCTTTATTATAATTTAAACATCGTGAAATAATTTAATATCGTTTAACATGTCATAAACTAACACATTATGCAACTATTAAGTTAACAACGTTTAACATGCATATATCATGACTAACCATATGAAGCGTTTAACATGCATATATCATGACTAACATATGAAGAAATCTATATGATTTAACTTCATTATGCAACTATTTAACGTCCATATTTTCCTATCTGATAACATGAAAAATCGGACAATAAAAAGAATCTACTATAATCTACATAATACATTCTAAATAATTTTCTTGCTCTCGACTTTTGCTGCCTCCTTCAAATTAGCACCTCCAATACTTCAAAACTCCTCAATCAATAATATAGAATTTGCTCCACTTCGATTTTCTAACATAAATTAACAAGAATCAAATTGAATACTTAACTAGTATATTAATATAACAAAATCTTAAAACATTAAATAAAGAAATTATTGTCGTTTACCTTAAATATTACAGTTGTCTCCCCTCCTCTACTCACATACAAACATACAAATATACATACATACATACATATATATATATATA